TGCTCTTACACTCCTTCGCATCAGCCGGATATCTTCAAACTAATGGGCTTGAAGATCTTTAAGCGACGTTGTCTATCGTCGTTAGGAACGGTAGAATGTAACGAAATAATGATGTATAAAATTCCCACACGTCTTATTTACATATTCTGACGGTTTGCGAAATTACATGTTAAAGTTTCATCGTCCAAAAAATAGCGCATGGTGCATATTATGTATATATACAAAAATAAAAATGTAAAATTATAATTTATTCAAGAATTAAAAATAATTTATTTTATACGTAATTATACTTTATTAACTTTATTGCATAGCTGCATTTTGCAGTTGAGATAAGCATTGGCCGTGATTCGCTCCACGGAATTTAAGTGTTGTTACCGATCCGCCCATGCTTTACACGTGGAACTGTAATCAAAGTCTTATAAGGAGAGTCCGGCGTTGACATTGCCCACGCATTGCTCGCACTAATTTATTACGATCGGATCGTTGCTATAAAAACGGATGACCTGAATGCTTATGCACATTTATGCGAGATTCTGTATTCATTACGTCCATCTTCTTCTTGCGTTTGCAGGTTCAACCCGGTCAAACCAAAACAGTAGCCTACAAGCAAGTATCATACCACTTCAACAAGGATTTGGACGGGAAATCAGGTGGGAAAAATTTATTAAATTTTATATATATATAATATACCTATATATATATATATGAGTAACAAATAATATACGCATATTAGAGTTATATAACATTATTACATTATGCTATATGTAACTGTAGAGCATTCTCAGTAGAGTTTAGCGTACTGTCACTGTAGCAAAGCGGATTCCTTGAATTAACTGAGACAAGTAATACGCAGAGTCGCGGTGAATAGTACACGAACGTGAAACGATCAAGGAAGGTAGGAGAGCCGGTTGCTCGTATCACGCCTTTTAAGGCAAGCAACGGCCTTGCTGGTTTACGGTTAATTGATAATGAAAAAATCGAGCGGATCAAATTTGAACCTTATTCGTATCTTTGACGCGATTCTAGCTACACTGTGCAAAAAATATTGCAATAAAGCGACCGAGATCACGTCACTCGTATCAGTTATCGTTGCTTCTAAAAGAAAACAAACCGTGACTGAAGTTTCAAAGTCGCGTTGCCAATTTCCATAAGATTTAATAAAGATATTCCCAAATATACGTATGTGGAAGGATTTTTAAGGCAAATGAAAAATTTGATAAAAGTAATGTTGAAATAATGGATTAATGTTTAAATTAGATAGTAATTAGATATATAGTAATTAGATAATTCGCGAATTTGATATTTTTATTGAGTGAAGAGACCATTCACTGTCCATTATCCATCGCTTTTCATGCAAAGTACTGATATTACGCTTTTCTTCAACATTATAAACATTAAATTTTATTTGCACCTAAAATCTTTTTAAATATATTCGTTTGAGACATTTTCGGGCATTTTGTCAAATATGAAAATCGGTAGGAAATCTTTTCAAAACTTTATTTATCTTTACTGTAAAGAAGCGCGTTGAAAACAAGAAGGTCTTCCGTGTATCTCTGTATTTGGCAGAGACGGTATACGGTCGTAGCTCATATATGTTCTTTGCGGTCACGCATAACATACAAGCGTAGCCATATTAGGACCGTTTATGGCAGAAGGCTGACCCGATTTCTTCGTGTCTCCGCTGCTCTCCCGAAAGAATGAAAGGTATGAGAGAAAGACCGTGGGGGAGGTAGAAATATGTAGACATAAATTACTATAGTGGAAGGACAAGGACAACGGTTGGTGAGACTCCACTACTGGTGCAGTTAACGTTATAACTCTTATAAGATCAAACGAATTAAACCAATTACAACGTAAATCGTCCGCGCAATTTATTAGCACTTTATTATTTTAATCACTTCATAAATTGACATTGATTTAGAACTTTTGTTGCGCTGTTTTTCTAAATTTATTACCGCGTTTTTGACAATCACAACGATAACATACTCGATGATTTATTGTTCCAGATTCATGGGGCATATCAGAAAGCAAACAGCCTCTCACTAGCACACCCTTGATGTGAGTACATAGTTCTCTCATAAGTTCCAAAATACTTTTGTTTTTTGAATGGATGCCAAGAAACTAAGACACGTAACATATATTTTCCGTTAACTCGTTAAAATAGAAATAAACTCATATTTCTCAATTGTCTGTAATTTATGTACGAAAGAAATTTATTGCGGATGATGCAAATGATTCCATCGTCTACAACTATATTTATACCTATTAAGATTCCGAAATATTAAATGTAAAACATTAATACAGGGACGACATCCATGAAAGAACATATGAAGAATCTAAAACTGCAGTGAGTCCATATACATATCAAAGTCCAGAACCGATTATTAAAAAAACAGTGGTCAACAGAGAATTGGTGAGCAAAATTATATTTTTACAACTATTTTCAGATATCGATTCATTGATGTTTTTAAGTAACATTAAGTGAAATGGACAATTCGCATTAACAATCATATTTATATCAGGTCTATGGCGATAGTTCAACATCTCGTTCGAAACAGATTTCCCCTCTGCCAGGAACTCAGAGAGACGTCAAGATCATTCACGAAAGTAGTATGTAATTTATATAAACTATATTAAAGAATTTTAACTATTTTCCAAATTTTGTCAATGAATAATCTTTCGTTTGCTTAAGATTATCAAACTGAACCACGATCAACTCAAAGTCCGCAAGAATACAAAACCATCGAGTATGGAGTCTCAAGTCCACCGATACCAATCAATCTGGCACCCGGTCCAAACACAAAGGTAACCACTACCATTAAGACGTACACCTACGAATTACCGGGAGCACCGGAGACGTATCTACCAGGTAGCAGTGTACCAGGGAGTGTCATGCTGCCCGGTGATCAAACGATCACTTATACCCTACCAAGAACCAGCGGAACCACCACCACAGACAAGACAGTCACCTATCAGACCGTGGCGGAGAATGCACCGGGACATCCTGGTTCACCGATCAGATACTCACCGACTGATATCACCGAGAAGTCCAAAACTATACACAAGGAATCGAAGTTTTATCGCGAGGAACAGCCTTCTTATGCTTATCGCAACGCTCCACCGACGAACATGGAGACTAAGACCACCGTAACCGAGAAGTATTACCATGTCGACGGTTATCCTAATGGACCGAGCGATCGCCCAGACTATTCTGGGACTACGTATCAGAATCAACCGCCTATCAGCGAGCATACCAGAAGCATTAATCGGTTCGAAGAATACAGATCCGGCAGATCACCGTCCAGCGGACGTTATCCCGACAAACCAGACACTCCGACCAAAACGAATTACTATCCACAGCAGGATACCCAGTCCGGTACAACGATTTATAAATTTTCGAATACTATGACGACAGTACCGCCAAACAAAAACGCCGATGATCACGAAGTCCTCCTGCCGAAACCGTTTCCAACTGGTACTAAAGTGTATCCTGCTAAACCAATTGCCAATGGCGAAGGACCACCGACTAAACTGGAAGACCTCATGGCCTCGTTCTCTGATTCTGAGGTAAAGTAATTTATACTACAATATAGATATTATTTGTACGATGATGATCTTGTATTTGTTTGTTCTCTCTATGTATTTTGTTTGTTCAGCGAGAAGTATTGGAAGATATAGAAAGGCAAGAGCG